TGGGATTCGAAAATGTGTATCTGTATTCCAAGTCCCTGTATCAACCAAAATATGAATATTTGAGGTTGCTATTCAATCCGTTAAAAGAGATTGGATATTACGAATATCATGTTGGAGATGAAGTAATTACTCCAGATGAAGTAGCTCCGAATTCTATTATTATATTCGATGACGTAGCCACATGCAATCAGAACATTATTAGAGATTTTTTATGTTTCGGACGGCACAAGAACACAGATGTATTTTATTTATGCCAGACTTATAGTTTCATACCGAAACAATCGATGAGAGATAATAGCAATCTTATCATCATTTTCAAACAAGATGTAACAAATTTGAAACACATTTACGATGATCATGTCAATGTGAATATGACATTTCAGAAATTTCCTGAGTTGTGTTCATTCTGTTGGAAAGAGAATCATGGATTCGTTGTGATTGACAAGGATGGAGATATCGGGAAAAGTTGATATAGGAAAGGATTCAATGGAATTTTGATAGTTTAAATTGATGTGAATCATTCGTCAGGTAACAGTATAGTTATGGAGGTTAATCTAGCAAAACAGTTGGTAAAAGCCAGACAATCTGTCAAGAAAAAATACCAAGGGCTCAAGTCAGATATTGCTCAATCGAAAACTTCATTGGAAGAAACATATGAACCAATAACTGATCCTTTAAGAAAATTACTATCGTCATTCAATGAAACGGCAGTTCCTAAAGTGGAGAAAACTGAACCTGATTCATTCTCAACTCCCCAACAGAAACAGTATTATAAATCGTTGCCAGATGAAACGATTCCACAAAATGAAGAAACATTCCAAACGATTCCACAAAATGAAGAAACATTCTTACATGAACCGGAAGTAAGTTATTTCGATCAGAGTCTCGGGCAATTACGACAACAAGTTGAAAATCTCCAGGCTGTCCGACAACCAGAATTAGAGAAATATTTGGAAAAATATGAGAAACCTCTTCCTAGGGCTTACATTGAAGATATATTCACAAGTGATCCAGATCAATTTGATCATACATTCGGTGTCAGATATGAACTCACAACGGATAGTTGGATGATAGGTGATAGTGTTATAGAATTCCTTGGTCCACATTTTCGATAAATGAAGTATCCTATAACGGTACACCAGGTCTTTATGAATTGATGTTAGTAGAGGGGCTATAGGGATTCTGGCCCCTAGGCCAATCAGAGACCAGCATTTGGTTGGAGGCCACGCCCACTAAACACCAGCGCGAAATTCAAATTATTCATACGTCGTCACGTCGCCATCGTGAATAGATAAATTAAAAAAAGCTGTCACCGCTGGGGGGAATTGAACCAGGGACCTTTGCATTATGGGGCAGCGTATATACGCACTGTGGTATTCCGACCTCCATGATATTTCAATTATTTTAATGCTATTCAAACGGGATATCCATCGCTGGCGCGCGCTTATCTTTGCAACGGATCCATCGAGATAGAGTGAAGCGAGAGATGCATTCCAGAGATAAGAAACTTCGAGTCGAAAATAATATCCATCGCTGGCGCGCGCTTATCTTTGCAACGGATCTATCGAGGTAGAGTGAAGCGAGAGATGCATTCCAGAGATAAGAAACTTTGAGTCGAAAATAATATCCATCGCTGGCGCGCTCATCTTTGGAACGGATCTATCGAGGTAAAGCGAAGCGAGAGATGCATCCCAGAGATAAGAAACTTCGAGTTGAAAATAATATCCATCGCTGGCGCGCGCCTATCTCTACACGGGTGCAGCGACAGCAAATTCCACAATCAACAGCATAACAGATAAGGTTGGAGGTTATCAAAACCACAAAAAACCCAACAGCAAATTTCACAATCAGCAGCATAACAGGAAACGTTGAAGGTTATCGAAACTACAGAAAAAACCAACAATTTCACAATCAGCAGCATAACAGGAAAGGTTGGAGGTTATCAAAACCACAAAAAACCCAACTAGTCGCATAAACAAAATACGTTATCAGATTGACGCAAGAAATTATTGCTATCAGTAGTCGTTTTAGATGGGTTTTTCCAGAACATCCGCGTCTACTATCAGCAAGTCACGAGGTAACTCTGCCAGCGTATAAAAGCGATGACGCCGCACAACATCATTCACACTCGAGTCTGCAATCGTGAACGTTGTCTCTCGACCAGCTCCAGCCAAATCATCACTGTTTGTGTGTGTGTGCATTAATAGCAATAATAGTAAGTACCTCTTTTTTATCAAAGTGCGTATTTATATTCTCAATCCTATATTATCCAACTTTTTTATTCCATTTTGAGTTTCTTAGTTTTATTTTAAGTTTCATCGCAAATTATTCATTTAGTGCCCATTCCTTTCTCGAATTTTATATTATTGGTCCCTTTCATTTTATTTTGGAAATAATACAACCTGGTGCTCATTCCGCATCAACCTTTTTCATTCCAAGTTTTTTTTGAGAGACAATTCAATGAAAGTGTCAATGATCAATCGCAGATTGATTTCATTTCTAGTTTTATCGAAAATAATCCATCCTAGTATCAAGCTCATCATGACTTTGTTGGACTGCTGATGTTTTTTGTCCTTTTTCTTCCCACCAGATGGATCTTACTCAAATCAACGCAGCTTCTCTGATTACTCCAAAACAGCTGAAACCAAGCGTGAAGTTGGTGGATCTCCTGCTCGGTCAACCCCAACCAATCAAGACAGCGGAAGTGGTCACCACAAAATTTGGTAAATCTGTTCTGATTGAGTTGGAGGACTCTGTTGTGTTCCTGCCCAGTCGTGTAACTGAGACCTATTTCCCCCTCATTGGATATTTCGGTACCGGAAAATATTCCTTGGTATTCAGAGGAAAGGTGCAGACTGGGAAGGCCAATCCAGCAGCTTCATTTGAAATTTTGGAGAATTAAAGTAAGCTACATTTTTTTATTTGGGTGAAATATCATCAATAAAACAATGGAGAGTATCAATAAAACCTTGACCAAAGTTGATGAAACACTTTTACTGATCAAGAACAATCATTCTAAACCATTGGCACTTTTTGTATTGAAATCAATCCGTTCACACATACGGAAATGTATTTTAGCATTGAAAAGAAATACTTTTTCGATTGGTTTGAAGCGTAAAATTCAGACTAAGATCGGGGAACTGAAACGGATGAGATTTTTCATCAAAACTATGAATAGAGGACATGTTGGCTCCGGCATGAAGCCCTATATTCGTTGGATTGATGTTAATTCAATCTTCGCGTCGAGAGTGCAGACCGGTCTTATTCTGAATTTGAGACATAAGGAGATTATCGACTTTTTGGATGATTCATTTAGATTAGTAAATAAGAGAATTTCAAAATTTTTGGGGCGCTTTTCAATGCTAAAAGTCAACTTTACATTTTCCGGTGACTTCATTAAGCAGTCAAATAATGGGGAATTGGTTGACCGCAAACATTTTTGTACTCCCAATGCCATCGTGGACGCAGGAACAGACCTAGCCGATTGGTTCAAAATCAATGCGTTAGATGTGATCCTTAATAAACTTAGCGAATTTGCCGAGAAGAATAGCGGGTGGGCTTTGAGCGAAATTATTTCTCTGGAGGTTGCCATAAATAAATATGAAATGGGCAATGGCTCATCGTTTATCAAATTACCAGAGCAGATTGAGAGAAAGCATGCCTGCATTAACGTTCAAAATGATGATGAGGCAATTTAGGGTGGGCCGAGAAACCGTTTTTATTCAATAATTTTGAAATTTCTTTTAGAAATAGTGCACAAAAAGTACCTCTTGTTATTCCGACAGAAATGTTCATCAACAGTTTTTCTATTGTAATTCGTCTTCTGCCCCCTACCAGAACTCAAAATTTTCAAAAAAAATCAAAATCGACCTTTGGAATTTCGATTTGGAATAGCACGAAAAAGCTTCCTTTTCTTATTCCGACCAGAATATTTACATACAGTTTTCTTATTGCATTACGTCTACTGCCCCCTACCAGGACTCAAAATTTTCAAAAAAAAAATTTAAAATCAACCTTTGGAATTTCGATTTGGAATAGCACGCAGAAGCTTCGTTTCCTTATTCCGACCAAAATATTCACATACAGTTTTTTTATTGCATTACGTCTACTGCCCCCTACCAGCCCTTGGAAGTGGGGTAACCATGTATGCACCTTCTAGTTTAATATAATTTATTATTTTTCTTTCGGTAGGAGTAAGTATTTTGGGCAATCTTATTTTATCATCTATTATCTGCTTTCAATGAAAAAAATCATAAAACTTCGAATATATATATATGAAGTTATTGACTCTAAATTACCCGAAGTAGAGTTCTGCGACTTGAGTACCGACCAGATATATCTATACGAAATTTGCCTTGCAATATCCTCTGGCCAATGTTGTGCAGATTTAGCAAACCAGAATCCAGGAAAAGTGAGTCATTCCCGATGGCTTACTTTGGAAAACCGCCTATTGCGGCTGTATATTTCCACCAATAACCCCAGTTCAAATTCGAAAGAACTGATAACTTTTGTTCTGAGAGTTTATGTGCCGATGTGGTTTCTGATTGAACTGAATCCATCTTGTCAAAATGGAGCAAAACATGTTTGGCAAACCATTGAGCTAAGTCGATATTTAAGGGGCGATTTGCGAGTAATTATTGGCCCAGTTATACAACGCAATGCATATTTCGCACACCCGAAAAACATATAAGTATGTATGCTAAGTGACCCTCGTTCCCACATCAGAGAACTTGCCATGCGACGTATTCTGAAAGCGAAGGAAAAGGAAAATCCAGGATATACTGGAACTGAATTTTGATGCAGATGATTATATTAATTGAATTGACTGGCAGAATAATGACAATGACATTACTCCGCCCCCGCTACTCCATAATTTAGAACTAGATGAATTGCAAAATATAATAAGAGAAACCCCCAATAAAGTTATTAAGGTTACATCTTACCCCTGTCACAGCCAAGCCGTGGAAAGATGCATAAAATTGGTGACGGAAGCTTCGTTATCAGTTGTTGCCGTTGTTGGTTCTAAAAAGCGAGATGGATTTATAAAAGCAAGATCAGATTCTCGTAAATTAATGCCACAATTTGAGAGCAAAAAGGACTTTTTACAATTAATTTATTCGTTATACATTTCATTACATGACCGAGTTTGTTATCTGCCTTTCTCAATTGATACATATTTGAGGTAATGTAAAGCGAAGAAATTGTGAGATATTAAAAAAATGTGTTAATAAACATTATTCTATCGAAAAAGTTCGTATTTTAATTTTTTCTTGAGGTTTTGAGTTCCGGTAGGGGGCAGAAGACGTAATGCAATGAAAAAACTGTATTTGAATATGTTGGTCGGAATAAGAGAAGGAAGCTTCTGTATGCTATTCCAATCGAAATTTCAGATGTCGATTTTCAAAATGTTCTGAAAATTTTGAGTTCCGGTAGGGGGCAGAAGATGCGTTACAATCAAAAAACTGTTAATTAACATTTCTGTTGGAATAACAAAAGGCATTTTTTGTGCACTATTCCGAAACCAAATTCCAAAATTCTAATTCTCGGCCCACCCTATGAGGCATGCTTCTATTGGAGCATAGTCAGTTGTTCGCATGCCGCTAAATTGAAGTCATATAGAGTGAATAATTATCCTCACTATTCACGAGTTCTGAACATCAAAGGGTTAGACATACCAATGAAACTGCCCCAAATCACAAAATTTGAAAAAATGAATGCTATTTCGGTGAATTTTTATGCGTTAGAGTTGACAGAAGTCAACGAACGAACATTTTACTCTGTAGTACCCACCAGACTTACTAAGCATAAATCCAATCGACACGTTAATTTGCTTTCAATTCAGGACAAATATTTCCCAAATTTGAATGACTATGAAGCTCCTCCTGACAACGATAATGCTGAAGAGGACGTCAATATAAAATATCACTATGTCTGGATTAAGGACCTTTCACGACTAGTATCAAGTCAACTCAACAAATATAAGGGTAAGAAATTCATCTGCCATCGGTGCCTCAACTATTACCATTGTCAGGAGAAGCTTGATAGTCATGCCGCTCAATGTGAGAAAATTAATAATGAGAAAATTTCATTCCCCAAGTATGATTTTGTAGAATTTAAGAACCATTTGTATAAGCAGACATGTCCTTTCATCATTCATGCTGATTTCGAATCGCAGTTGGAGAAATGTAATTCCAAAATTTCAAAAACCACTTCAAAGTATCAACATCATAAAGCATACAGTGCTGGGTACTATTTTGAATGTTCTTTCGATGACTCGCTGTCATTTTATCGTAGTCATAGGGGTGGAGATTGCATGGACTGGTTTGCCTGCGAAATGTCTAAAATTGCGAAATTTGTCGAATCCAAATTGAAAAATATCGTTCCAATGGTAGTCAAATCAGCTCGTACCAGTGGCGCAACCATCTGCCACATTTTCGAAGAGAAATTCAAGGCAAAAGACGTTATTGTACGTGACCACGACCACTTTACTGGCGCATACAGAGGCTTCGCACACCAGGCTCCCTGTAATCTCAACTTTAGGAAACTGTTCGTTGTTCCCATTACGTTCCACAACCTCTCAGGAAATGATTCGCATTTTATGATCAGAGACATTTCCAAGCGGGGACGTGTGAGCATACTCCCGGTTAATCGTGGAGAATACATTTCCTTTACACAACATGATGATGAAACAAGCATAAAATTCCGATTCATCGACTCTTTCCGCTTTTTGGGAACCAGTCTCGATGCTTTAGTGTCAACGCTGAAAGTTAATGATTTGAAAATCCTGAAGAAGGAATTCAGTGACGTGAATGAGATGAAATTTGCATTGTTGACACGAAAAGGAGTATTCCCATATGATTATGTCGATAATGTGGAAAGATTGGATCCGAGTTGCCAAGTATTCAAAATTTCTATAACAAATTGAACGATACAAATATTTCGGACGACGATTACGCGCACGCGCGAAAAGTTTGGGAATCTTTCGAGCTGAAATCGCTGGGAGAATATAGCGACCTTTATATGCGGACCGATATTCTTCTTCTTGCTGACGTCATGGAAAATTTCCATGCGTCATCCCTCAAGACCTATGGCCTCGATCCTGCTTGGTATTACACCATGCCCGGCTATACTTGGGACTGCATGCTCAAGTATACTGGGTGCAAGCTGCAAATCATCAAATATATCGACATGATGATGTTTGTGGAGCAGGCGATAAGAGGAGGAGTATCGGTTTGTTGCAATAGGTATAGCGAAGCAAACAATAAATATCAGAAAAATTACGATCCAAAAAAGCCGTCAAAGTACCTTCTTTATCTCGATGTGAATAACCTTTATGGAAAAGCAATGAGTGAACCCCTCCCTTATGGGGGCTTCACATAGGTAGAAAATGTTGACATTGATGTAACCCAAATTCCTGACAACAGTCCAGAAGGCTATATTCTCCAAGTTGATTTGGAGTATCCTGAGAGGTTGCATGACCTACACAAGGACCTACCATTTTGTCCCGAACACCGCACACCACCAAATTCAAAATTATCCAAATTAATGACCACGCTGTACGATAAAAAGTCATATACTTCACATTACAGAAATTTGAAGCAGGCATTAGAACACGGTCTGAAATTGACCAAGATTCATGAAGTATTAAAGTTCAAACAATCCACGTGGCTAAAGCCCTACATCGAGTTGAATACCCGATTGAGGACTCTAGCCACAAACGATTTTGAAAAAGATTTGAGGAAATTGGCCAATAATGCGGTGTTTGGGAAGACGATGGAGAATATTCGTAATCATAGAACAGTTAAGTTAGTCAGAATGTATGAAGGCCGCTATGGCATTAAAGATTTAATTTCAAGTCCTCGGTTTCAACAGCGAACAGTTTTCGATGCCAATTTGGTGGCAGTGGAGTTGAAAAAAGCAGAGCTGATTTTCAACAAGCCCCTATACATTGGTATGGCTATTCTTGATTTATCGAAAATCGTCATGTATGATTTCCACTACAATTTCATGTTACCAAAGCTTGGAGCTGACGTAAAACTCATGTATACCGATACGGACAGCTTCATCTACGAAATTGTATGTGACGATGTGTATAGTGAGGTGATTGATGCAAATATCGAGATATTTGACACGTCTGACTATGCTCCAGACAATATTTATGGTATACCTCGAGTAAATGAAAAAGTCTTGGGTCTATTAAAGGATGAGGCAAACGGTTAGATTATTACGCATTTTGCTGGACTACGGTCCAAGATGTACAGTTATGAATTGGATATAACGGATGGGGATATTGAAAAAGAGAGAAAGCGATTGGAAAGAAAGGGATTCAGTAAAGAACGACTAGATAGGGAATTGGAAAATTTTGGTATAACTGAAAAATCCAAGGGTGTCAAGAAATGCGTCGTCAGAAATAAGTTGACTTTTGATGACTATGTGGATTGTCTGACGGCTTGGAAAGAAAAGACCGTAGCCCAGCAAACGATTCGTTCCTACGCTCACGATGTTTTTTCCATCGAACAAACAAAAATTGGTCTGAGTCCCAAAGATGATAAGCGGAAACTGATTCACGATTCGTTTGACACACTTCCGTGGGGTCACTACAGTTTGACGGATTGATTTTCTCCTCAGTATTTTTGCACCAAAATTTTTAAACCAACGCTGTGTTGTATTGATGACCTATTTTTCTATGAAAAAAATGTAAGTAACTTCTTTTATTCATCCAATAATTTATGTTGTATTTATGTATATTTTCAATCATCTCAGTATTATCTGATAATTCCAAATATTCATATTTCATTGTATAAACCTTTTTTTTTTCATTTTTATTATCCCCTTCTACATTTATACTATTATACACTTTCACAATTTAGAATATAGAAACAGTTATTAGACTTTTCTATGTATTTTCTTTCCACACCCTTGTCTGGATGATGTGTACGAGAAAGAGAGAGAGACGAAAAAAGAAGAGAGAGAAAGGGAGAGAGAGAGAGAGAGAGAGGGAAAGAGATGTAATAAGATGTGGGTTGAAAGTATGGATGTGAAAAACAGTTGTATCATGTCTTGTGACGAATACAGACGTGCACTAGAAGAATTTGGGTTGAAAGTTAGAAAGCTCAGTGCAGACATCCAATTGTATGAGCAGAAAGTTTGTTTGTTCAGAGATTTCGAGCAATTGAGTGTTTGGGACAAGGTGTTCACAGAACCGAGACGTTCAGTTGCAACGTTACCTACATCGAGAAGAATCCAACCAACACAGCTAGATGGCGATACTGAAAGTAAGCTTCATTCTATTGACAGCTCTGAGCAACAACGTCTTCTACACAAACATACCGTACAATACGAGGAATGCAGCCGTATGTTTTGATGTGAATCGTACACAACAGTGTGATTGGAAGCTGATGAGTAGAATGTATGTCAACGATAACAAACTACCTGTATATTCAATCGACATGCCTCGAGTCAATGGGACCACCATCGACTACAAATTGAAATTATCGTTTTCTGATGGCAGTGACGGCGAAATGGGAGACTGGCAGACATTTACATTGAAGAAATCACCCGCAAAATTAGATGATGATCAAGATTCTGTCAATATCATTGCAATTTTGACACTTTGTTGTACACTAACATGTTCACTCATTTCAATCTCACATGTTATTTTCATTATACTGAGGAATAAGGGATGTGATGAATAAAAACTCTGAAGTTATTATAAAGTTTTTTATTTTGGCAATAAATTACATAACCAATTATATAAAGTATCGACATTGTGGAGACTGCACTGGAACCTTCCTCCATGGAAATGATTCATGCAAGGTGGAATGGATTGTTGAAACGTTATTGGCTGCCACCAAGAATTGTCAAAATCTTCCAAATTAACAATGTGATTGGTCATCTCCAACTCTGCACATTTTCGCTGCAAGAACTGAATCTTTTGGTGTCCTCTAACGTAGATGATGTTTGTCTGCTGCAGGTTATCTCGTAGTATTTGATCCAACTCATTCAAATCCACATAATCACTGGAATATTTTAAACCATGAACGTAACGCTCCACATGATTTGCCATCTTTTTATCTTCTCTGCTTAAACTCGAAAATTCTACAGATGGCTTGAATAGAAAATGACTCGTCTTTTTGCCAATGCGAATGGTCATTTCCTTTGGAATGAATTCACCATCAACCATGAACCCTTGAATGTCAACCAGTGCGATCTCCATGACTCTTCGAAGCAAACTGACGTCTGACTGATGCAGCAACACCTAACTAGGCAGTATTTCGAACAATTTCGCTGAGTGGGAGATGTTCCATGATTTGATCGTGAATGATGATGCAATAGGCTTTGGTGTCGGGAGGGAAGCCTGTAGTCGCTTCAATGTCCAACTTTATGTCAACTGTAGACGACTTCATGCCTATATGGCGCCTCGAGCAATCGATAACAAACTTTGGTCGGGATTTGAATTCGGCAAAGTTCACTAGAGAGCGCTTTTCTTGACAGTTATGGTAGCTCTTGTTGAACTCTGTATAGTTGAAGTGGGCGTCGGCATATTGGTCTTCGGAAAAGTCCAATAGCATTCGTTCTTGCGGATAATAGTCGCTATTCAGAGCCAATCGTATGGATTTGATGTTGGCATTATCGAACAAGGTGACGTCTTCATGCAAAATATCGGCTATTTTCGTTTGGAAAAATACTATAACATATCTTGGACTGTCCAATGCAGAACATGTCTTTACGGACCAGATTTCTATGGTAAATCCTTGTGTGAGTGCTGGTAGCTCGTGCAATTCCCATCTGCGAAACGGTATCATCATAGGCTCATCTGCTTTGATACGTGTCAACAACTGCAACTTTATGTCATCGTTGGGTGTGAGATGTGGCACTTTCAAATTGATGCCGTCGAACACGGGTGCTAACAGCATTGTAGTCTTTGAGTGATTTCAGAAACAGGACACTGGATAATGTCAATGTTTTTCTGTTGCTGCTCTTCGAAGACACGACTGCTTTGGTGTACGGTGTCGAGAGAACTGGTGCCGATGATGTTGCTGATGATGGTATATTATCTGATTTATAGGAGTAATCAAACACTAGTACCATCTTGCGAGTTTCTCCAATTCCAATCTTATGATGATTTCTTCACCTCTGAAATTCACTTGCCTGGAATCTTGGTCTAGAATCTAGAGTGTAATGTTGGGCAATTCCCGCCTGCTGACTATAGGTAGATAGATTAGATTTCTGGGAGTCTCGTCTATGTCGTAACCAGGATCGACTGCAACTGCAAACTCGTAGATCGTATGTGATGGTCTGTCGTTGTAGAGAGCTCCAGCAGTAACGTTGCTATCAATGTGAATGGTTCTCACTTTGGTTATGCTGACAGGCAAATCGGAAGTGTGGACTTGTTGTGCGTTCAACAATCTATTTGAAAATCCCAAGACTTGAGCTATGCTATCCTTCGGGCGAAAATCGATGGCAAACTGTTTGCTCGAAATCTCACACTTTAGTGTATTATTGTTGGGCTTCAACGAGAATATATCATCAACGTCCTTTGCACTTGAGATGCCCAATTCTTTGCGTATGAATGTCTCAATGTCCACAATGTCGTATGACCCTTCGGGAATATCGATGATCTTTCCCGCCTTGGTCTTATCTTGCAGATGAAACTTTGATCCTTCGTCGATATTTGGTATACTGTTGTATGAATGGAATCCCAACAATGCTAGTCCGTAATCAGAGTCTGAATCGAGTTGAAGTGGTGTCAAAAAGTCTATGGAGAGCGTAGATGTACGACCTTTCAACGTCACAATCAGAGACATGACATGACATGGTATTGATTGTTATTGTACAAGATTTTCGTGCTGGCACCCAAATATTGCGCCAATTCTCTGGGCGGTTTCAGATTACCATAACTATCGAAATATAAGGCTTTTTTATCATTTTTTATGTAAGCCACCCAATGAGTGCCCGCATGATTGGAGGTATCCAAATTCAATACAGCACACTCGCGATGCCATGGACCGGTGGAAGGTAGAGTGTCCCGCATAAAAACACCTCGAAAATACGGTATTTTCAGCTGTTTGGCATACTTTATCACATGTTCATCGTACATTGATTCATTGGGTAGCTTGTCTAGAAGTTTTTTGAGTTTTTGGATTGTTTCTCCAAGTACAGTCCGAATCCTCTCGATGTTTTGCGTAGAAATAGGCCGGAACCCTGCTTGCCGATAGCCTCCATTGCTTTATTATGCCTTTGATCTTCTTCGAGCTTTTTCTTTGCATTTTTCGCATCAATGACTGTCTTTGCGACTGCTCCGGCTCCTCCAGCTAGAGATCCTAGGGCTCCCAAGGCGGCAAAGATTGGTATCAATGGTAGTATACCGCCACTGTGTGGAAGAGGTATGATTCTTGGTACTCTGATTCTTTTTTTACCGCCAGCCCTCTTGATTACCATTCTGGCTGCATGGAGTGCTTTCAATGCAGATTTATTCAGACCACTTCCTGATGTTGTACTACCACCACCACCACCACCATCTGACTTTGATAGTACATTTTTTATGAATTTGATAATGTTGGATAGGGATTGCTGTGATACAAGACCCATGACAAGTTTTCGTTTGACCTTCATTCCGGTGGTGACAAGCCAAGCAGCAGCCTTCTCTTTGAATTAAGCGTTCTTCGACTCGACTCTCTCCCACGCTCTATTTTCCAATATCCAATCAGCTTTGTGTCTGTCTTCTATTGAGGAATTTTGTGAATAGGCGATATCGTGTACTCGACACGCGTCGTCCAACGGATTGATACCGGTGTCTCCTCTTGCAAGTCTTTTATCGAGTTTGGTACCTGGACCACAAAATCTGTAGCCTGGAATGTGTAATTCGATGGGAAGTTTATCGATCAGAGAATTGAGCACACCCTCTCCGTGGTAGAGCAACATGAAGACTGATGTGTAGAAAGTTCGACAACTCTGCATATACCTAATGAAATGAAAAACATATCATCACATGATGAAGATCATTCAACAAGAACGGATGTTACCCATTGTGAATTTGGATGAAATTTTGTCAACCAAACCACCAGTAAATAGTAAACATGGGAAACTGCTTCCCCATTCGATCAGAGCAATCTTCTGCGGACCAAGCGGATGTGGAAAGACCAATGCGATGCTTTCCCTGCTGTTCAATCCAAATGGCGCGAAATTCAAGAACGTTCACGTGTATTCAAAGTCGTTGTACCAACCGAAATATCAATTGCTGCAACAAGTGTTGGATTCAGTGAAAGGTGTTGGGTATTTGCCCTTCAAAGAAAATTATGATGTCATTAGTCCATCAGAAGCGAAAAATCATTCGATATTCATTTTTGATGATGTATCATGCGACAAGCAGCAAAAAATTCGAGAATATTTTTCAATGTGTAGACACAAAGTTCAAATTCGAAAGAACTGATAACTTTTGTTCTGAGAGTTTATGTGCCGATGTGGTTTCTGATTGAACTGAATCCATCTTGTCAAAATGGAGCAAAACATGTTTGGCAAACCATTGAGCTAAGTCGATATTTAAGGGGCGATTTGCGAGTAATTATTGGCCCAGTTATACAACGCAATGCATATTTCGCACACCCGAAAAACATATAAGTATGTATGCTAAGTGACCCTCGTTCCCACATCAGAGAACTTGCCATGCGACGTATTCTGAAAGCGAAGGAAAGGGAAAATCCAGGATATACTGGAACTGAATTTTGATGCAGATGATTATATTAATTGAATTGACTGGCAGAATAATGACAATGACATTACTCCGCCCCCGCTACTCCATAATTTAGAACTAGATGAATTGCAAAATATAATAAGAGAAACCCCCAATAAAGTTATTAAGGTTACATCTTACCCCTGTCACAGCCAAGCCGTGGAAAGATGCATAAAATTGGTGACGGAAGCTTCGTTATCAGTTGTTGCCGTTGTTGGTTCTGAAAAGCGAGATGGATTTATAAAAGCAAGATCAGATTCTCGTAAATTAATGCCACAATTTGAGAGCAAAAAGGACTTTTTACAATTAATTTATTCGTTATACATTTCATTACATGACCGAGTTTGTTATCTGCCTTTCTCAATTGATACATATTTGAGGTAATGTAAAGCGAAGAAATTGTGAGATATTAAAAAAATGTGTTAATAAACATTATTCTATCGAAAAAGTTCGTATTTTAATTTTTTCTTGAGGTTTTGAGTTCCGGTAGGGGGCAGGAGACGTAATGCAATGAAAAAGCTGTATTTGAATATGTTGGTCGGAATAAGAGAAGGAAGCTTCTGTATGCTATTCCAATCGAAATTTCAGATGTCGATTTTCAAAATGTTCTGAAAATTTTGAGTTCCGGTAGGGGGCAGAAGATGCGTTACAATCAAAAAACTGTTAATTAACATTTCTGTTGGAATAACAAAAGGCATTTTTTGTGCACTATTCCGAAACCAAATTCCAAAATTCTAATTCTCGGCCCACCCTATGAGGCATGCTTCTATTGGAGCATAGTCAGTTGTTCGCATGCCGCTAAATTGAAGTCATATAGAGTGAATAATTATCCTCACTATTCACGAGTTCTGAACATCAAAGGGTTAGACATACCAATGAAACTGCCCCAAATCACAAAATTTGAAAAAATGAATGCTATTTCGGTGAATTTTTATGCGTTAGAGTTGACAGAAGTCAACGAACGAACATTTTACTCTGTAGTACCCACCAGACTTACTAAGCATAAATCCAATCGACACGTTAATTTGCTTTCAATTCAGGACAAATATTTCCCAAATTTGAATGACTATGAAGCTCCTCCTGACAACGATAATGCTGAAGAGGACGTCAATATAAAATATCACTATGTCTGGATTAAGGACCTTTCACGACTAGTATCAAGTCAACTCAACAAATATAAGGGTAAGAAATTCATCTGCCATCGGTGCCTCAACTATTACCATTGTCAGGAGAAGCTTGATAGTCATGCCGCTCAATGTGAGAAAATTAATAATGAGAAAATTTCATTCCCCAAGTATGATTTTGTAGAATTTAAGAACCATTTGTATAAGCAGACATGTCCTTTCATCATTTATGCTGATTTCGAATCGCAGTTGGAGAAATGTAATTCCAAAATTTCAAAAACCACTTCAAAGTATCAACATCATAAAGCATACAGTGCTGGGTACTATTTTGAATGTTCTTTCGATGACTCGCTGTCATTTTATCGTAGTCATAGGGGTGGAGATTGCATGGACTGGTTTGCCTGCGAAATGTCTAAAATTGCGAAATTTGTCGAATCCAAATTGAAAAATATCGTTCCAATGGTAGTCAAACCAGCTCGTACCAGTGGCGCAACCATCTGCCACATTTGCGAAGAGAAATTCAAGGCAAAAGACGTTATTGTACGTGACCACGACCATTTTACTGGCGCATTCAGAGGCTTCGCACACCAGGCTCCCTGTAATCTCAACTTTAGGAAACTGTTCGTTGTTCCCATTACGTTCCACAACCTCTCAGGAAATGATTCGCATTTTATGATCAGAGACATTTCCAAGCGGGGACGTGTGAGCATACTCCCGGTTAATCGTGGAAAATACATTTCCTTTACACAACATGATGATGAAACAAGCATAAAATTCCGATTCATCGACTCTTTCCGCTTTTTGGGAACCAGTCTCGATGCTTTAGTGTCAACGCTGAAAGTTAATGATTTGAAAATCCTGAAGAAGGAATTCAGTGACGTGAATGAGATGAAATTTGCATTGTTGACACAAAAAGGAGTATTCCCATATGATTATGTCGATAATGTGGAAAGATTGGATCCGAGTTGCCAAGAATTCAAAATTTCTATAACAAATTGAACGATACAAATATTTCGGACGACGATTACGCGCACGCGCGAAAAGTTTGGGAATCTTTCGAGCTGAAATCGCTGGGAGAATATAGCGACCTTTATATGCGGACCGATATTCTTCTTCTTGCTGACGTCATGGAAAATTTCCATGCGTCATCCCTCAAGACCTATGGCCTCGATCCTGCTTGGTATTACACCATGCCCGGCTATACTTGGGACTGCATGCTCAAGTATACTGGGTGCAAGCTGCAAATCATCAAATATATCGACATGATGATGTTTGTGGAGCAGGCGATAAGAGGAGGAGTATCGGTTTGTTGCAATAGGTATAGCGAAGCAAACAATAAATATCAGAAAAATTACGATCCAAAAAAGCCGTCAAAGTACCTTCTTTATCTCGATGTGAATAACCTTTATGGAAAAGCAATGAGTGAACCCCTCCCTTATGGGGGCTTTACATGGGTAGAAAATGTTGACATTGATGTAACCCAAATTCCTGACAACAGTCCAGAAGGCTATATTCTCCAAGTTGATTTGGAGTATCCTGAGAGGTTGCATGACCTACACAAGGACCTACCATTTTGTCCCGAACACCGCACACCACCAAATTCAAAATTATCCAAATTAATGACCACGCTGTACGATAAAAAGTCATATACTTCACATTACAGAAATTTGAAGCAGGCATTAGAACACGGTCTGAAATTGACCAAGATTCATGAAGTATTAAAGTTCAAACAATCCACGTGGCTAAAGCCCTACATCGAGTTGAATACCCGATTGAGGACTCTAGCCACAAACGATTTTGAAAAAGATTTGAGGAAATTGGCCAATAATGCGGTGTTTGGGAAGACGATGGAGAATATTCGTAATCATAGAACAGTTAAGTTAGTCAGAATGTATGAAGGCCGCTATGGCATTAAAGATTTAATTTCAAGTCCTCGGTTTCAACAGCGAACAGTTTTCGATGCCAATTTGGTGGCAGTGGAGTTGAAAAAAGCAGAGCTGATTTTCAACAAGCCCCTATACATTGGTATGGCTATTCTTGATTTATCGAAAATCGTCATGTATGATTTCCACTACAATTTCATGTTACCAAAGCTTGGAGCTGACGTAAAACTCATGTATACCGATACGGACAGCTTCATCTACGAGATTGTATGTGACGATGTGTATAGTGAGGTGATTGATGCAAATATCGAGATATTTGACACGTCTGACTATGCTCCAGACAATATTTATGGTATACCTCGAGTAAATGAAAAAGTCTTGGGTCTATTAAAGGATGAGGCAAACGGTTAGATTATTACGCATTTTGCTGGACTACGGTCCAAGATGTACAGTTATGAATTGGATATAACGGATGGGGATATTGAAAAAGAGAGAAAGCGATTGGAAAGAAAGGGATTCAGTAAAGAACGACTAGATAGGGAATTGGAAAATTTTGGTATAACTGAAAAATCCAAGGGTGTCAAGAAATGCGTCGTCAGAAATAAGTTGACTTTTGATGACTATGTGGATTGTCTGACGGCTTGGAAAGAAAAGACCGTAGCCCAGCAAACGATTCGTTCCTACGCTCACGATGTTTTTTCCATCGAACAAACAAAAATTGGTCTGAGTCCCAAAGATGATAAGCGGAAACTGATTCACGATTCGTTTGACACACTTCCGTGGGGTCACTACAGTTTGACGGATTGATTTTCTCCTCAGTATTTTTGCACCAAAATTTTTAAACCAACGCTGTGTTGTATTGATGACCTATTTTTCTATGAAAAAAATGTAAGTAACTTCTTTTATTCATCCAATAATTTATGTTGTATTTATGTATATTTTCAATTATCTCAGTATTATCTGATTATTCCTAATATTCATATTTTATTGTATAAACCTTTTTTTTTTTTCATTTTTATTATCCCCTTCTACATTTATACTATTATACACTTTCACAATTTAGAATATAGAAACAGTAATTAGACTTTTCTATGTATTTTCTTTCCACACCCTTGTCTGGATGATGTGTACGAGAAAGAGAGAGAGACGAAAAAAGAAGAGAGAGAAAGGGAGAGAGAGAGAGAGAGAGAGGGAAAGAGATGTAATAAGATGTGGGTTGAAAGTATGGATGTGAAAAACAGTTGTATCATGTCTTGTGACGAATACAGACGTGCACTAGAAGAATTTGGGTTGAAAGTTAGAAAGCTCAGTGCAGACATCCAATTGTATGAGCAGAAAGTTTGTTTGTTCAGAGATTTCGAGCAATTGAGTGTTTGGGACAAGGTGTTCACAGAACCGAGACGTTCAGTTGCAACGTTACCTACATCGAGAAGAATCCAACCAACACAGCTAGATGGCGATACTGAAAGCAAGCTTCATTCTATTGACAGCTCTGAGCAACAACGTCTTCTACACAAACATACCGTACAATACGAGGAATGCAGCCGTATGTTTTGATGTGAATCGTACACAACAGTGTGATTGGAAGCTGATGAGTAGAATGTATGTCAACGATAACAAACTACCTGTATATTCAATCGACATGCCTCGAGTCAATGGGACCACCATCGACTACAAATTGAAATTATCGTTTTCTGATGGCAGTGACGGCGAAATGGGAGACTGGCAGACATTTACATTGAAGAAATCACCCGCAAAATTAGATGATGATCAAGATTCTGTCAATATCATTGCAATTTTGACACTTTGTTGTACACTAACATGTTCACTCATTTCAATCTCACATGTTATTTTCATTATACTGAGGAATAAGGGATGTGATGAATAAAAACTCTGAAGTTATTATAAAGTTTTTTATTTTGGCAATAAATTACATAACCAATTATATAAAGTATCGACATTGTGGAGACTGCACTGGAACCTTCCTCCATGGAAATGATTCATGCAAGGTGGAATGGATTGTTGAAACGTTATTGGCTGCCACCAAGAATTGTCAAAATCTTCCAAATTAACAATGTGATTGGTCATCTCCAACTCTGCACATTTTCGCTGCAAGAACTGAATCTTTTGGTGTCCTCTAACGTAGATGATGTTTGTCTGCTGCAGGTTATCTCGTAGTATTTGATCCAACTCATTCAAATCCACATAATCACTGGAATATTTTAAACCATGAACGTAACGCTCCACATGATTTGCCATCTTTTTATCTTCTCTGCTTAAACTCGAAAATTCTACAGATGGCTTGAATAGAAAATGACTCGTCTTTTTGCCAATGCGAATGGTCATTTCCTTTGGAATGAATTCACCATCAACCATGAACCCTTGAATGTCAACCAGTGCGATCTCCATGACTCTTCGAAGCAAACTGACGTCTGACTGATGCAGCAACACCTAACTAGGCAGTATTTCGAACAATTTCGCTGAGTGGGAGATGTTCCATGATTTGATCGTGAATGATGATGCAATAGGCTTTGGTGTCGGGAGGGAAGCCTGTAGTCGCTTCAATGTCCAACTTTATGTCAACTGTAGACGACTTCATGCCTATATGGCGCCTCGAGCAATCGATAACAAACTTTGGTCGGGATTTGAATTCGGCAAAGTTCACTAGAGAGCGCTTTTCTTGACAGTTATGGTAGCTCTTGTTGAACTCTGTATAGTTGAAGTGGGCGTCGGCATATTGGTCTTCGGAAAAGTCCAATAGCATTCGTTCTTGCGGATAATAGTCGCTATTCAGAGCCAATCGTATGGATTTGATGTTGGCATTATCCAACAAGGTGACGTCTTCATGCAAAATATCGGCTATTTTCGTTTGGAAAAATACTATAACATATCTTGGACTGTCCAATGCAGAACATGTCTTTACGGACCAGATTTCTATGGTGAATCCTTGTGTGAGTGCTGGTAGCTCGTGCAATTCCCATCTGCGAAACGGTATCATCATAGGCTCATCTGCTTTGATACGTGTCAACAACTGCAACTTTATGTCATCGTTGGGTGTGAGATGTGGCACTTTCAAATTGATGCCGTCGAACACGGGTGCTAACAGCATTGTAGTCTTTGAGTGATTTCAGAAACAGGACACTGGATAATGTCAATGTTTTTCTGTTGCTGCTCTTCGAAGACACGACTGCTTTGGTGTACGGTGTCGAGAGAACTGGTGCCGATGATGTTGCTGATGATGGTATATTATCTGATTTATAGGAGTAATCAAACACTAGTACCATCTTGCGAGTTTCTCCAATTCCAATCTTATGATGATTTCTTCACCTCTGAAATTCACTTGCCTGGAATCTTGGTCTAGAATCTAGAGTGTAATGTTGGGCAATTCCCGCCTGCTGACTATAGGTAGATAGATTAGATTTCTGGGAGTCTCGTCTATGTCGTAACCAGGATCGACTGCAACTGCAAACTCGTAGATCGTATGTGATGGTCTGTCGTTGTAGAGAGCTCCAGCAGTAACGTTGCTATCAATGTGAATGGTTCTCACTTTGGTTATGCTGACAGGCAAATCGGAAGTGTGGACTTGTTGTGCGTTCAACAATCTATTTGAAAATCCCAAGACTTGAGCTATGCTATCCTTCGGGCGAAAATCGATGGCAAACTGTTTGCTCGAAATCTCACACTTTAGTGTATTATTGTTGGGCTTCAACGAGAATATATCATCAACGTCCTTTGCACTTGAGATGCCCAATTCTTTGCGTATGAATGTCTCAATGTCCACAATGTCGTATGACCCTTCGGGAATATCGATGATCTTTCCCGCCTTGGTCTTATCTTGCAGATGAAACTTTGATCCTTCGTCGATATTTGGTATACTGTTGTATGAATGGAATCCCAACAATGCTAGTCCGTAATCAGAGTCTGAATCGAGTTGAAGTGGTGTCAAAAAGTCTATGGAGAGCGTAGATGTACGACCTTTCAACGTCACAATCAGAGACATGACATGACATGGTATTGATTGTTATTGTACAAGATTTTCGTGCTGGCACCCAAATATTGCGCCAATTCTCTGGGCGGTTTCAGATTACCATAACTATCGAAATATAAGGCTTTTTTATCATTTTTTATGTAAGCCACCCAATGAGTGCCCGCATGATTGGAGGTATCCAAATTCAATACAGCACACTCGCGATGCCATGGACCGGTGGAAGGTAGAGTGTCCCGCATAAAAACACCTCGAAAATACGGTATTTTCAGCTGTTTGGCATACTTTATCACATGTTCATCGTACATTGATTCATTGGGTAGCTTGTCTAGAAGTTTTTTGAGTTTTTGGATTGTTTCTCCAAGTACAGTCCGAATCCTCTCGATGTTTTGCGTAGAAATAGGCCGGAACCCTGCTTGCCGATAGCCTCCATTGCTTTATTATGCCTTTGATCTTCTTCGAGCTTTTTCTTTGCATTTTTCGCATCAATGACTGTCTTTGCGACTGCTCCGGCTCCTCCAGCTAGAGATCCTAGGGCTCCCAAGGCGGCAAAGATTGGTATCAATGGTAGTATACCGCCACTGTGTGGAAGAGGTATGATTCTTGGTACTCTGATTCTTTTTTTACCGCCAGCCCTCTTGATTACCATTCTGGCTGCATGGAGTGCTTTCAATGCAGATTTATTCAGACCACTTCCTGATGTTGTACTACCACCACCACCACCACCATCTGACTTTGATAGTACATTTTTTATGAATTTGATAATGTTGGATAGGGATTGCTGTGATACAAGACCCATGACAAGTTTTCGTTTGACCTTCATTCCGGTGGTGACAAGCCAAGCAGCAGCCTTCTCTTTGAATTAAGCGTTCTTCGACTCGACTCTCTCCCACGCTCTATTTTCCAATATCCAATCAGCTTTGTGTCTGTCTTCTATTGAGGAATTTTGTGAATAGGCGATATCGTGTACTCGACACGCGTCGTCCAACGGATTGATACCGGTGTCTCCTCTTGCAAGTCTTTTATCGAGTTTGGTACCTGGACCACAAAATCTGTAGCCTGGAATGTGTAATTCGATGGGAAGTTTATCGATCAGAGAATTGAGCACACCCTCTCCGTGGTAGAGCAACATGAAGACTGATGTGTAGAAAGTTCGACAACTCTGCATATACCTAATGAAATGAAAAACATATCATCACATGATGAAGATCATTCAACAAGAACGGATGTTACCCATTGTGAATTTGGATGAAATTTTGTCAACCAAACCACCAGTAAATAGTAAACATGGGAAACTGCTTCCCCATTCGATCAGAGCAATCTTCTGCGGACCAAGCGGATGTGGAAAGACCAATGCGATGCTTTCCCTGCTGTTCAATCCAAATGGCGCGAAATTCAAGAACGTTCACGTGTATTCAAAGTCGTTGTACCAACCGAAATATCAATTGCTGCAACAAGTGTTGGATTCAGTGAAAGGTGTTGGGTATTTGCCCTTCAAAGAAAATTATGATGTCATTAGTCCATCAGAAGCGAAAAATCATTCGATATTCATTTTTGATGATGTATCATGCGACAAGCAGCAAAAAATTCGAGAATATTTTTCAATGTGTAGACACAAGGATATTGACGTAGCATACCTATGCCAGACTTTTTCTAAGATACCGAAGCAGCTGGTGCGAGACAACAGTAACCTGTTGGTGTTATTTCGACAGGATGAAATGAATTTGAAGCATGTGTTCGACGAGCATGTCTCACCAGACATGTCATTCGATCAATTTAAAGCATTGTGCTCAGAGTGTTGGAATTTCAACCAATATGGTGCGATGGTGATTGCAAAAACTTCCGATATGAATGCTGTTATGCCTTTAAATCTCAGGGGGTGAGTAGTAAAAAAAAATGGAATAGAATTTTATTTACCCCTGAGTTTGGTTGATGAATTACCTGAGATTTATTAGGTGTTTTAAATCTTAATTGTATTGACAACAGAAGAAGTGTTTTTAGTGCCCAGTTTGATACCGTAGAAACTAGACACTGGTAGTTCAGCGGGACAAATGGGTGGGTACGCTAGGCTTAGTAAAATACTAAGTTTTATAGGGATGAATATGCGTTTAATCACAAGTAATTTCTGAAATGACAAATAATGTGCTCCAAATGATACTATATTTGGCTCAAGACTTCCAAAGTAACTGAGTATCAATAGCAATATTACCTGAACAGTGTACAATTATTGCAACAACAAGAAATATAAATTGACTGACTGAAATCAACTCTTCAGATCAGGGTGAAATAATACAATCACTGCTCAAAATCAACTTTCTGAGACAGTATGATGATATATAGCTTATTAATCAACAAAATAACTCAATGAATCAGTATCAATGAGACAAAAGAAATAATAAGGCCTATTTTACCGCAGTGCACTTTTGGTTTACAGGGGTATATTATGTAGCTATACTGAGTGTATATTAAATCAATGACATGTTGCAATTATATTATGTTGAATGAAATTTTAAACTGATGAATTATGGTTGGTGGTAGTTTATCCCAAGTAAAATACTATCCCTGATGGTGCATGGAACGAACTCACCAAATTATGAGCAGGTCCTGATGTACAGGGGGAATAGGTGAAGTCAGCAGTGTCAGGTGAAGTCAGTAGAGTCAGGTGGTGTCTCCTGTATGTCGCCTTTCAGCCACAAATCAAAAGGCTCCAAAAGCAGGCAAAAACAGAGCTACCGCACCAGGGCAGACTCCAGTACAGCAGTCCCAGGGAGCTGAAGGGGGGCCAAATCTTGAGTGTGACAATAACCGTCTGGAGAGAAGGCTTTAGCCCGATAAAAGGAACCCTAGATGGAATGACGACAATCGTGCGTTATTTTACCAACACCAGGACTGACAAGAAAATAGCAGCTGATGATTAAAAGAATATATAGTACCTTGGATGTTGTGTGGGTTCCAGAAGTGGTGATGCAGGTCGGCTCGGCCACGTGGATTTCAGCCACGAAGGATCCCTCTATAGAGGCAACAGGAATCCCATCATCCCAGCGATGATGATGGATATCCCAAATTTGATATCTTTTCCTAATTAATCCCAGCACTAAGTAATGGAAAATCGAATGTTAGACAAATTCGTAATTATTCAAGAAACAGATCTCACGGCTTACTTTTGTGACCAGGCTGGTAGACTGCTGCAGACAAAATGGTGCCTATGAAGATCGAAGGGGCTGTCCTTGCCACATCTCACCGGAAGATCACCCTTTTTTGTGTATCTTCCCCTATACTCCCACACACATCAATCACCGGACGATATAAAATTATAGGCGGGAGATATCCCCGCGAACACCCTGTACATGGCATTTCTACCTCACCATGGTAGTGAAAACTATGTCGATAATATCAAGAGAGGTGTCTATACCATCAGAAAAGAAGGAATATCATTAAATCACCATTTATTTCAAGTCAGAATATATTATTGCCAGTTATTATTGTTTGGATTTGAAACTTCAAATATTCAAACACGGTCATGCGCAACTGAGGATCATTGTAGACCTGAATAGTGGGGCGAAATACGTCATCATCTTCTTCCCGTGCGACGACCCTTCATCACAATGTAACATAACCTATAACGCCCATACTTACAAGGAATTAGTGCCAAATCAACGAACAGGTACATAATGGCGAAGATACAGAGTGCCAAATCATCATAACAAGATATGGTGCTGATTGTGAGCCGTTAGAGCCCGTATTCGTGATGATAGCAAGGGAACTATGGGTCAATGTTCCATGATGACAATGTTGAAAATTCGAGAAGATGCATGCAGAGGTTCGCAAATAGTGGTCATCCGTCATTAGTGTCATTACCGTCAATAGAGACTAAACGTCATCAAGCTGACAGTGACATTTTCAATAATTACAATAATTACATAACAATGATATTTATTTGGAAATATAACGGCAACAATAATTACAAGAATGATATACTCGAAATTCAAGATGAAATTTGGCGAAATACCTGTGGA